CACTTCCCCATTGCCATTGTGACTCATTGAATCGGGGCTCCATTGATGCTGGCTTTTTAACGTTGTGGTGCACACGCTTAACTCCAGGTGAAACTACTCCGAGTTCAGAATCAGAATCAGAACTTTATTGTCATTGCACATGTCACAAGTCCAGATCAACAAAATTACCAGTACATCCCGTCCACGACACATAAAAAGACAGAGACTAATAACAGTGGGAGACAGGAGGGAGAAACTTTTGGGTCAGCGAGTGTGAGGGGGGTGAGCATCTGTCTGCATAACATCCAGGAGAAAGAGAGAGATATCAGCCTTCCAAGGCCAAAGTAGGGGAGCTGAATGAAGACAACAAAGATTGTTTTGGGTCAGGCCGACTGTGTAATTTACCATCAGTCTTAAAGTCCCACTGGTTCTCTCTGTGATCCAAAAAGTCGAAATTGATGGCCCATTCCAGATTGGTCTGTTTAACTGCTCCAAGTTGGTGCCTATCTTGCGAATGTTTGCGATTGAGTTTGCATATCGCTTGAGTCTGAGTGTTGGCAGCCTCAAAACATTCCCTCACTTTGTGATGCAACAGGAACCCGCAAACTCCAAACAGCAGGAAGCCTGTTATCATAATCCCAATTATGTAGAAAGCTGATTAAACTAGAGTTTAATCATCATCAAGAGTTGATTAAACTAACTCAAATCTGCTGTCCTGGAACAGGAAACTCTGAGTTTCTCAGGGTAGAGCAACTCAGAGTTCAGGATTAGACTCAGAGTTTGTTGAACCTGCTTTGTGAAACGGACCCCAGGTCTTAAATATGCTCCAAGACGTGTATTTGCGTGTGTGTCGTGGAAATTGTTCTTTTATTTCTTAAATACATTGAATGCGTTGTTTACTATAACAACTCATTCAAAAGAGAAAAACCTACTCATGGACTCATAGAGTCCTCCTAATTCCAAACTGTTGTGTCTGATCCAGATAAAACATGCATCTTCGGCATAAATTGGGAGGAAGTGCAAGCCAATTACACTTTGTATAGATGTAGTATAGGGACTTACATTTCCTCAGACCAGGAGTTAGCTTCTGCTCTCTATTACTGTCCACTCTAGAAAACAAAACACAATTAGAGAAGTACAATCTTTTCGAATATGGAAAAAAATTCTTCACAATGATGTTTAATGCAACAATAATCCTAACTGCTGTTTTCAAATATATCAGTATATTTCAAATTAATTTCTTGTTTAACCCTGTTCAGGACTTTCATGTTGACATACGTAGAAGGTCTTTCAGGGTCTATTGGACCCAAAGAAAGAATATGTGCAACATATTTGTTGATATTCATTACAGACTTTTATACTATGTTAAATAAATGTTCTGACAAGTTCACATATTTTTGGTTCCAAATGCATGACAAATGTCCCTCTTTTTATATTAAAAAACAATACCTGTCACGTAAACCTGGGGTCCAAAAGACTCCAAAAGTCCTGAATAGTGTTAAAGGTCACCTTCTGAAAAACCTCTCCCTACACCTTTTGTTGGAACAACAGGCCCAGTATCCAACATTTTTTTATAATGAGATGCAAAATGGCTGCCATACCCACTTGGTGGGAAATTTGGAAAAAGGAGTTTGGCCTTTTTTTCTTTTGCCTTTGAAGAGAGAAAAAAAGTGCATGCATTTCCTGCATTTGTGGAAGTCATCATGTCCTGCCTCTCTCCATGACAGCAGACTTTTCAAACAGCCTTCAAGTGCAGCTCTTCAGTCCATGAAGAAATACTTTTGACTTTATACATGTGAGACACTCTGTATCAATATGTTTTTCAAGAATGTTCCACCTTTAGGTCATTGCTGTTTTGACTGAACTATGTGAGAGCGTCGTGTCCGTCCATACCTGAGAGCGCCCAGTCTCCAATAAGGATCGTCCACTCCAGCAGAAAGCTGCTTTACTCCCGGCTCCTGCAGCTGCAGGTTGTTGTTACTCAGGTCCAACTCTATCAGATGGAAGGGGTTGTAGTTCAGAGCTGAAGCCAGAGAAGCACAACCTTCTTCTGTGACCAGACAACCTGACAGCCTACACACACACACACACACACACACACAGATACACACACACACACACATGCACGGTTAAAGCTGAGAGGAAGGGGGCAGTAACGGGAAAAAAACTGCTGCTTCCAAAACCAAGTCAATCCATTCACACTCTTCCACTGTCAGCAAAGAACAATACATTTGCCTGGCTGCAGTGGACATCTCTGCCTGTTGCTGCTGACCATCCCTTTCTGAACACTGTCCACCCATCCACCACGCCCCGACATGCATGACACCCCGATGGGCGTGCGTTGAAGACCCATCTATTGCTGCTTGCAGCTTTGCAGCGTTGAATTAACAGGTGTGCCTTGTCAAGGGTCAATTTGTGGAATTGCTTGCTTTTTTAATGTGATGAGACCATCAGTTGTGTTATGCAGAGGTAGGATTAGTATAGTCCTGTTTGACTACTGTTGTAATCCACAGTTTGGCAAGAACCAATCAACTCAGTTAGGGAAACGACTGTCCATCATTACACATGAAGGACAGTCAGTCTGGAAAATTTCAAGAACTTTGAATGTATCCTCAAGTGCAGTCACAAAAACCATCAAACGCTATGATGAAACTGGCTCTCATGAGGACCGACTCCAGGACAGGAAGACCAAGAGTTACCTCTGCTGTAGAGGATAAGTTCATTAGAGTTACCAGCCTCAGAAACTGCAAATTGACAGCACCTCAGATTAGAGCCCACATAAATTCTTCACAGAGTTCAAGTAGCAGACAATTGTCAACATCAATTGTTCAGAGGAGACTCAGGCGTTCATGGTCAAATTGCTGCAAAGAAGCCACTAGTGAGGATGAACAACATTGGTGATTTATTCAAAATTTAAGGCGCACTTAATCAGCATGGGTAGCACAACATTCTGCAGTGTCACACCGCCCCATCTGGTTTACTTACTGGTACCATTGTTTGTTTTCAACAAGACAATGACCCCAAACACACCCCCAGGCTATGCAAGGGCTGTTTGACCAGCAATCCACAATCACCCAACCTAAACCCACTTGAGATGGTTTGAGATGAGTTGGACCGCAGAATGAAGGAAAAGCAACCAACAAGTGCTCAGCACCTCTGGTAAGTCCTTCAAGACTGTTGGAAAACCTCATGAAACTGATTGAGAGATGCCGAGAAAGCGCAAGGCTGTCATTAAAGTAAACGGGGGCTACTTTGAAGAATTTAAAGTATAAAACATGTTGTGATTTCTTTAACAATCTTTTTTTGTTTACAACATAATTTGTTTTGAGTGTCTTGCCTATCCCAGACATTTGTGGCCGAAAGACTTTTGCTGGGCATCAGGACAGTAAACAGTGCTGAAATTGCAGCGATCGGTTGTGATTTGGACATGCTGCGCCAACACGAAGTCCTTTTGGAGACCACGCCAGCAGCTACCAGAGAGAAGGAAGCACAAATGGTGCGAACGCAAACAAAAGAGGAGGAAGAGAGCCGGGATCCATGCTAGGCTAAAGGCTAACCCCTCCAGACCTGCAGTATCGTCACACCTACTCTCCAATGTCCGTCCCCTCGACAACAAGCTGGACGAGCTACATTGGCTGAGAGAAACCCACAGAGAGTGGAGGGACTGCTGTGTGTTTGCTTTAACAGAAACATGGCTCCATGACAACATCCCAGATGGACATACAGCCGGAGGAGACGACATTATTCAGACAGACGGCTAGCTCTGGGCAGCATCTGCAGCTTCACCATCGTCACACCATCGTGTGCATCTTTGTGTCCCTGAAGACCTACCAGGACCTGAAGAGGTTCACCATGTTCAGTGTGATGGCAACGCACATGGACGCAGCGCCCCCTTCAGGAGACAGTGAGAGTGAACGTTTAGTGTCTTATCCCAGACGTTCATTCTGCAAAACGTACTAATTAAATGATCCTGAAGAAACGCTCTCTCATCTTGCCTGTACTACTGTGTATGTACAGCAACATGACAACAAACCTGATTTGATTTGATTTAATTCCATATGTGTTCTTTAATATCTTCAGTATCAATCTACAATGTAGAAAATAATTTAAATAAATAAAAACCACTGAATGAAAAGGGGGCTGGCCAGTGGCTCGGGGGTTAGCACCATTGCCTCACAGCTAGAAGATCCCCAGTTCACGTCCTATGCCATGTACCCTGTGCACCTTGGGTTTCCACCTTCCTCCCACAATCCAAGTTGGTTTCTGTGAAATCACTGTCAAGAAAGAGACCGTTTTCTCAAAACTCTGTAATGCACCTTGGACAAGTCAAGATTGTCATTCAAATGCCAATAAGGACATTTGGTTAAGTGGCTTAAGTGACCGCAGCAAGAAAGACGCCAGTTTGCATCCCGGTGAGGACACCAGGTTCTCTTTGTGTGGTTCACCTTTGGTCATTGATTTGCAACCATATGTAAACCAACTAATATTCACTTC